CCATGTGTTGTGAGATTAAGGAGTTTTCATCGTGTCTTCTGACTGCAAGTTGGTGCTCATGGATGCGCTCTGCCAGCCTTCTGCCTGTCGGTCCTACATAGTGTTTGTTACAGTCCTTGCACTGTATGTTGTAGATGACTCCTGTTTTTTCTTCTTGTGCTACTGGGTCTTTTGGTTTGCTTAAGATGTTTTGGAGGGCTTTAGTAAGTAAGTAAGAAAGAACAAAAATCTTAGGGGAAAAGTCACTGCTGCCCGTCATAAATATTAAAGGCTTCAGTGACCTCACAGGCAGAGGAGGCCATCCGCTGGTTCTCTGCATGAAAGAAGTGGTACAGTTGGATCAGTCATTTCTGACGGCAGAGGTACAGTGGGCGCCTCCCCTCTCCAAAGATTTCCCAATGCTCTTCTAACCCTTTTCCATCTAGAGGAATAAGTGTGAGTTTTATTCCCAGTCAACCCACTCCTCTTCCAGAAAAGAACTTACCTTGCTGGGGTAAAAAAAATCAAGATGGCACATGGAAAAAAAGGCTGGGGCTTTGACTGCATGACCACAGCTGCAATCTTCACGGCCCACCCCATCCCCACCTCCCTGGAGTCTATCCAGTTGTGCTATTGTCCATTGTCTTTACGAGCATTTGTTGAAGTAGAACCATGGATCTCATGAAAGGAAACCTAATTTTTGCTTCTCTGGGACTAAGGACACACACGCTTCCTCACCACAGCACCGAACACACAGGAGCGCGGTGACTCTTGCCATCTCGGCAAACCCTGAGCAGCTGCTGCCCGTTTCTGCCCACCTTTGAGTTCCCTACCTTGCATTTCAGCAGATTCTCCACTCGAGTTTGCATGGGATGTCCATCTTTGGGCCGCACAAGCACGTAGATGGCTTTCAGATCGTGGCAGCAGCGGAGAAGCTTTTCGATCAGGACTTTGCCCAAAAACCCGGTGGCTCCTGTAATAAGGATTGACTTCCCACTGTAGTAAGCGCTAACCAGAGACATGGTGTTCTTCACTTCCAAGCTCTTGGTGGCAGGATCTAGCAGGAAGATACACAAAATCGCACCACTCAATGTTCAAATCTTCTGGAACATCCTTTGCAACAGCCCTTGAATGCACAGTGCACCTGTATGATCAATTTGCTAAACTGTGTTGGAGTTCTCCTTCCAACATGCTGAAACTGTAGAGCTTTATAGGTAGTGATTAGCACCTTGAATTACACATGAAAACCTTCTGGTAACCAGTGCAGCTCACGCAGCAGAAATACGACTGACCAACTGAGCATATGTGGCTCTGCATTCTGGAGCAGTAAAAGTTTTCAGATGGTTTCCAAAGGCAAATTTACAGTAATCTAACTGAGGATGGCAAAGGCATGAGTAATTCTCTTCAGTGCATCCTGTTCCAGATTAAGCTACACAAAAACTGTACGCCAGCCAAAGCTATACAAAAGCCCTCCTAGCCATGGTCACCATCTGGTCTTTGAGCCCGGGGAGACCCCCTGTTTGTGAGACTGCTCTTTTTACACATCAGGAGCCAGAGATGCTGCAATCCTAGAATGAATCAGCCTCTGAATCGATAGCCACTCCATCTTGTCTGGGTTGGGCCTGGGCCTATGTTTTCCCACTCAAACCCTGACAGCTTCCAGATGCTGGCTCCCATTAGGTTCAGGGTAGAGATAAGGATAGTTCATCCTGAAATGGTGGATGACTGCCCAATGGTTTCATGTATAGGTTGTAAAGGATAGGGGAAAGGACTCAGCCCTGTGGCACTGCATCAGAATATGCTCAGGGGATTGATCTCTCTCAAACATCCGCTGGAACCACCTGCTCAGGTAATATCTATATGATGGCAGCACTATACCTCCGACTCCCAACCTTCGCAGGTAGTTCAGAAGCATCCTTTGGTCAACAGTATCAAAAATCACCAAGAGATCTAGGAGGATGAGGATGGTCACACCACCTCTGGCCAAGCACCACCAAAGCCATTCATGAGAGCAGCCAGCGTGAGTCTGTCCCATGCCCAGGTCTGAACCCAGCCTGCCACGGGTCCAGATAATTGTATCCTCCACTCCCTCAATAAGGGAAGGATAGAGATGACATGATCGTTGCCCAATGTTGTTGGATCCAGGCTTGGCCTCGCAAGGAGAAGGAGAACCAGTGTTGCTTTAAGGACCTCTGGCATCTCTGGCTTCTCAAAGAAGGGCTGATTCGATCTGACAGCCCAGATCGAAGTCCCGGCCCCTCCCCTGACTCCCTGACTGTTTCGAGTTGCCAGATGGGGCAGGAGTCTAATCCACAAGTGATGGAGTTAAGGTCTCAGAAGACTCTGTCAACTTTCTCAGCATGCACAGGTTCAACCCTCCCCTCCCCGCCCCCCCAGATAGTACCATAAGACGTCACATTGGTCATCTCAGAAGATTCTCTCCATCTGGATTCCAATTCAGAGCAAATGAGAGCAATTTTGTCCATGAAATGCTCCTTCAGATGACAGCAACTTATATTGACTGGATCTCCAGGCCATCTTTCCCCAGAAGGATCTGGGAGACTTAAATGGCTGGCCAGCGATCTAGGGATGCAAGAAGGGCAGAGAAGTAGCTGTACTTTGCTACCTTCATCATCCCTGAGGAGGCTTGGACTGAGCTCTTTCTCATGTCTGGTCACCTTTCCTTCTTGTTTTCCACCAGCATTGCTTCAGCGGGACCTTCACCTGGGTTTGGCAGGCAGGGAGAGGCCGCTCAAGGTGCTCTTGTTGAGCCCCTCGTTGCCTCTGTCTTCCAATGGTCAAGAAGGCACCCGAGAGAAGTGCTCTCCAGATCACTGGGAAGCTCGGCAAGTGCTGCCAGGAAACCTGCTGGATCAATCAGATGTTTGGGGTGGGCCATCTTAATAAGCCCTTCTCCCTTTAGTGAAACTCATCATCACAAGGAAGTTGTCTGTCCATGAGCACAGACTGAAGGGAATGATCCCCAGAGCCAGATCACAACACAAAATGTTCCCAGGTGAATAGTAAACAAAGGCCAGCCTAGTTACCCACAGCATTGCTTCCAGAGAGTGGGAAGGTCTGTGCCCTCTGATATATAGCAATAT